CGAGACACTGCGTCCTCTAGGTTTCTTGCCATGCTGCGGACGCAAGCTTCAGACGAAGAAGTGAATGATGTGTGCTACCGGCGCCTATTTATACTATAGTCGCACTGGTAGTGACGTCATGGCTGTCGCCGGCCAACGAGTTGGTGTTTTTTCAATGTATGCTTCAGACACGAGTCACGACGAGGCGTTCCCCATAGCGACCCCTAGAGGACGCAGTGTCTCGTTCCCTACTCAGGGAACCATGGTTACATAAGTAACCTGAGACGTTTCTCAACATTCCTTAAAATATCTTCTTTTGTGTTCCACAGAAGACAGTCATATAGGTTAAAAAATACAACAACATGAGGGTGAACAAATGATGAGAGATTGTGTGTGTGTGTGTGTGTGTGTGTGTGAACTATCCCTTTAATTACTAAAAAAACTACTTTAATTCAAAGACTTATGCTCCACAGTCATTTCCATGAAAAAAAAACTGCACCAAAAGTCACATTTTAACGCACAATGCTTGCTTGATTTTTCTCACAGCATTTTCAGATACGAGTCCAGAGAGTTGCATCATCCTTTTTTCTTTATAATTGGCCAGCGCTCTTCCTCTCAGGTTTCCTGAGTGTGTGTACATTCTGACTTTTCCCTGTCCAAGTCACTGATCCCCATCCAGCATCTCTGTCCCTTTCAGCAGAATGTAGCACAATATTAAACCTCACTCCTAATCCAGCACCATGATTGCAGTTTTTCAGTGTTTAATACCCAGAGAGCCATGCGGCCCTCCCCCCACACATTATCAACACTACTGATTTGTCTGCTGTGTAATCTGTTTAAGACCTAAGCTTTGTGGCCAAAAGATGAAAAGCTGCAATATTACATATCTAGGGGTAGAAATTAGTTTTCTGCGTGTTTATTTTATTTGTTTTTTTCTCTCTCTTGCTCCCTTTCTTCAACCTTACTCCCTTAAATAATTCATTTTTATTTGCAATGACCTTAGTGTTGCTTAGTTTCATTCAAGCCGAGTCATGTTTTGTTTAGCACACTTTTAAAAACAGTACTTAATTGCATGTTATTTGAAATTAAATGAATGTGTTTTGTATTCAAATTAATTTATATTTATATTAAAAGCAACTAGTTAACCATAAGAGTCATTTTTTTGACATATTAAGTTAGGACTTGTGTACATCTCTATATGTGCTTTCATAATTTTGTACATCTTAATATGTAATAAAACAGTAGTGAATAAAACTCTACTGTTAAAATTAAAAACAAGCACTTCACATGTTCTTTAGTATGTTAGTCAACACATCAAATAAGTGTACTTCTTAAAAGCATAATAAAAGTTTGCTAAAACGTCAATAAAAATGTAAAGTACATGTACTTTAAAGTAAATCTTTTAATTTGATATTATTATAAAGTGTAATATTTCTTTAATCAATATTATATTAATATTATATTATATAGTTTTTAAAAATACTTTTAAGATTTGATGCTTTTCATAAGGAATGTGTGTCTTAGTATACTTTAGTTTGTGTAAAACTCTTTTTGGACAGCAATTTTCCATGGTAATACCATGTTTTCGGACTTTGAAGTACCTTATGCTCACAGTACCATGTAAATATCATGATATATATCAAAGTACCTTCAAATCACTGTTCTATAGTACCACCATAGTATGTTTTTGTAAAGGTGTGCTGACACTTTTATGATAGAGTTA